CGTCAGCTTTTCTTCCTTGAAAAAAACCCAAAAAAAAAAAAAAAAGATCTAATTTACTATGATTCATAGAAACAATTTGTTTCCCTGATGGAAAATCGAATGAAAAACGTTTTAGGAAGACCAGGCAGGCAGGGGTCAAAGTTCTCTAATGGTGGCTTCATAGGAACTGTACACTGCCAACTTCTAACCATTTTAGGAGAGATAGCCAGGATCACTCTGCCCTTCATTCCTCATGAAAATCCTCTAATGCAGAAATTGTCTTATCTCACCAGAGAGAGAGAGAGAGAGAGAGAGAGAGAGAGAGAGCAGAGCCAGCAGGTGGCAAAGTGGTTAAGTTGCTGAACTCCTACATGTCCGACTGTGGTTCAAGTCCTAGATCTGGTGGCTTGCTTTCTCACTCCCCCACCCCTCTGGTGAGTACATATGTACCATAGCAAAAAGTAAAAATAATAATAATAAATTTTAAAAAAGGCAGAGAGAGAAAGAACATGTTCACCCCCCTCCCCAAATGGAGCATGATCACACCATAATCCCTTTTTCTCTCCATTCTATGAGGATTTGGGGCATGACTAGGACAGCATGTTTTTCAGCCTACTAGGCCTCTATCTGAATCGTGGTCAACCACTGGGATATGGCGCCTATGCACTTCACCGCTGTGTTATGGGACTAACCCGCCACAAACTCTTTTTTGTCATAGGACACCTGAGTTAGTGGGGAGTGGAACGGAGGAGAGAGAAAGTGAGAAATCACCCCTCAGGGAGGATGGTCACATCATATTGTCTTCCATTTTCCTCCCAGAATTTTGGGAACACATGCCTAAGTACCTGGTGTGATTTTCAAGCCACCAAATACAGAACTTGAACTGTGGTCAGCCGGGTGGGAATCCAGCACCTTAACCACTACACCACCTGCTGGCCTCTCCACAACTTCGGAAGTCCCCTCATACTTGGGGTGGAAGGAGCAATGGCTATCATTTGGTGCTGTCGTCCTAGCCAAGGTTCTACCACTTCTTAGCCTCGGGTGTTTCCTGAGCAGTGACCAGGCATATCCATCCCTGGATCCTTAGCTCTGGCCCATAACCACACATGGGCTCACGAAATGCCAGGAAGTGGAGCTGTTTCTGTGCACAACATGCTTCTCTCCATGAGCCGCAAATTCCTGTATGTAAAAGGATAATGATTCCCACTGTGCTCATGTCATGCAGTTATAGAGAAGAGATGACGACATGAAAGTGCTTTTGCCAGCTTGGAGGGCAGGGGTGGCAGCGACAGGAACAACTTAAAACCTGTTAGATACTTCTATTTCCCATGCCCACGCACTGTTACCCACACTTCATATACCTGAATCAGTCTTCACACCCACCCCGGGGGGTAGTTTACTACCTCCATTCCATAGCGAGGAAACTGCAGTACAACAAGCAGGCTAAATCTAACAGACGGGTTAAACGACTGGGTCACACAGCCAGACGGAGACAGGCTAGAGAGCGGGAACAAAGGCCGAGGGCATTGGGCTCATTTAGGACCACAGCCTGTCCGCAAAGAAGGAAAGGATGTCTTGCTGACTCTGACAGGGCGCACAGTAGTGAGTGGTTCCAACAAGGCCAAAGGTGAAGGAATAAAAAGCAAAGCTGAGCACCTTTCCCCCATTCCCACCAGCTCCAGGGCTTACCTTTAAACATCTCTTCTTCCAGCTCGATCTCCAGGGCAGCCGCTGCCTGCTCAATCCAAGAGTTGTGCAGACAAGCCTGGAAGTTCCGATACTCAGCTTTCTCTATCTGTCGAGCTAATCGGATTCGCTCCTACAGGAAAGGAACAGAAAGTACACGTGGCAGAGGGTTTAGGACTCCAGAAAGCAAATGCCCACTTAAGTTGTTTCAATGAGCTCTAAAGATCAGTGGTGCGAGACAGACAGCTCAGCTGCTTCTGAAATGCGTTCGTTTTGGTTCCTGGTGAAAGCCCTGAGGGCAATCACACATGCAAGTGCACACAGGCAAGCCCAGTCCCAGCCTTTGGAAACCCACCTTGGCCTGACCTACAGGTGTCCAAAGTGATCTCTTCCCCAGATGCCACAGCTGGCCTCCAGTGTAGCTGAGATAAGACATCTTAACTCTAGCTCATTCGTTCTGGGGTGTTACTACAGTGACATAATGCCTCAAGAAAATGGAGAGATCTTGTGCCAGAGCAGCTCCTAATCTTCATGAGAATTCTCTGACTCTCCCTACTGAATTCCCCCAAAGCCAATATTCCTTCTGGGCCAGGGCAGCCAATGGTCCTTGAGCTGGCTTGTGTCAAACTATGGTCTTGGTAACAGTGAACTAGTCCTTCTGGTGGCTCCGGCTTGAAGTGAGAGCTGAAGACAAGGTGACCTGGCTTCCCCCCATTTCGGCTCAGCCCACCTCTGCATGGCAGTCATGGCATCAGTGGTTGGGGACAGGAGTGTCGGGCTGCCAAGATGCTTTTACTCTCTCCCTCCCTGGGATTCCATCTTTTCTGCACCCTCCACATCTGTCTGCAGGAGGCCTGGGTGAAACCTCTTTTCCCAATATAATCATAAACCCACTAATTCCATGGTGCTCCGTTTTTCCCTGAACTTTTATCTGGGCCAGCAGGCAGTGTGGTGGTTAAGGTGCTGGACTCTCACATGGCTGACCGCAGTTCAAGTCCCAGACCTGGTAGCTTACTTCCTGTTTAGTCAAATTTTAAAAAATAAATAATTCTGTTAAAAAAATGTATTTGTTTTATTCATTATAGAGGGCACATGCACACATGTGCGCAAAGGAAAGGGAATCACTAAACTGCTGTGTACTGTCAACCTAAACAGGCAGACTAAGGAAATAATGTCAAGCAACAGGAGTTCATCTGGGCATAAATCTGAGGGCCCAGATGACCACATTCAGGTTGCTCAAAACACACTCGACAGGGTCTCGTCACACTGCAATCCCCTTTCCTTGGCCCTCAGGATCTCAGGCAGGGTTTCACGTACTCGGTGGGTTTTCAAGCCTACCCAGGGATCTGCACTGCAGTCACCACGTGGCTTCCGATGTGGTGGTTCTGTTACCTGAACTTCAGCACAGTGAGCCTCTGTGGAGGAGAACCCACCTGGCTTTGCTCCCTGACACACTGTGGCCCACAGTAAGCAGCACTTACCCGGTGATGCCTGCTGAGTTAAAATGCAACCCCAAAGGTAGGGCTTGCTGGCACCTGCTTTAGGGATATGACAAACCTTTACTACTTACTTCACTATTTTACACTGACATCACGGCCCACAACTCTCTGACAGGATGTCCTGGCAGCCACGCCCACCAAACTGGTCAGTGGGGGTGATGGTGAGTGGAGACTTCAGGGACAACCACGAAGAGATGGTTTGGAGAGAAAATGCCACAAGCTTTTGGTCACTCCCCTCTCCTTCTCCCAGGCAGAGTGCTTCCAAGTCTCTCAGCTGCTGGCACCCAAGGGCTGAGCTGTGTGTCATGGCAAAGTGCTGTGAGGGGGCAGCAGGAGCCCTCGTCAACATCAGAGTTTCAACTTTCCCTTTTACCTTGACTGCATCCATGTACTTTGTCTGCACAGGGAACAGTGGGATATCCTCATCTTTCTTGAGGGTTTTGTAGATCTTCTTAAAGTTGATCACATCCTCAGGACCAATCAGCATCAGGCTGAGGCCCTCATTGGTAGCTCGAGCAGTTCGACCACTTCGGTGGACGTAGATCTCTGAGGTACGAGGAACCTGCCAGGGGAAGAACTGGGAGGTCGATGCCCAGCCACTGCCCAACATTGCTCTTCCCTCCAGGCCTACCCTCGCACTGGACCCTTCTTCCTCCCAGCCAAGAGATAGAAAGCTTTCCAGCATCACAGACCAATCGAGCCCTTCTCACTTAGTCCCATGTTCAAGCTACCCCCAGGCTGAGCTCATCGCTGTGCATGCGACCTCCGACGACCCCAACCCTGGGTCAGGTCCTCACGATCATTCAGCACGACTGTGCTAGCCACTTCTGATTTGTCTCTCGTCCTCCCCCACTCCCCTGGTGCCAGCCCAAGGCTGCCAGTGTCATCTTCCTCATTTTCAGCTCTGACCCTCATATCCCTCCCGCTAAAGAAAGGCACTGGTTCTTCTTCAACTCTGCACTGACGACTGATGATGGCAATCACAAGAACATTTCATCAGACCTGACTCTGTGCCGCACTCCTCCAAGCACTCTACGCATATTATCCCATGTATTCCACACGGCAATTTATGAAACAGATGCTTTATAAATATTCATTTTTTATGTAACAGAAAACTAAAACAGAGAGGTTAAGCTATTCCCCCAGGTTACCCAACTAAATGGTGGAGCCAGGATTCAATGGAAGCAGTCCCGCTCCAGACACCGTGCTAACTCCTGTGCATGCTGCCTCTACTCAAGTACACACTGGCTCTATCCCCCACAGAAAAGGTGGCACAAGTGCCAACACCTCCCCCAGTACTGTGGCACTGTGCAAGTTGGTGAGAATCAGAATGGTAAACACTGACTGAACCCAGGGGACAGGAGGCATGGAGGAGGTGCTTCCTCATGCAAACATTCCTAACAACAAAAACTGTTATTCGAAAAACTCTGTGAAAGAACCACACCCTGCACAAGACCAGAGCAACTTGATACAAGGACTACTTCTGTGAAAACGCCTGTCCGGAGACTGGCTGTCCAACCTTGGACTGATGCCACCCTTGTTACTGATCCTGGCAGCCAAAATAGCTGGTAAGATCCTAACATCCCTCACCCTCACCTTGTGGTTTCTGCCTTAAAAACCTGCTTGAAAATTTAAGATCTCTGTGTGCCTGTCTGGGGTGACCTGAACACATTCATCTGGGCTGCATGCCAGGTGCAGCCCTCTGATTTATGCCCACAATCCTTTCACTTGACATAGTTTGCCTTGGTCTACCTTTTTAAGTTGACAGCACACATCATAAACCAAGCACAACCTTTTATCAACTGGACTCAGACACACCTCAGAATCTTTTCAATACAGTACTCTAAGCAGCCGCTACGAACTGGCTGTAACGCCTCTGGACATGAGAGCTACTTGTCATTCTTCACTTATGGGATAAAGGTTCACTCCTCAACCTGACATCCAGGACCTTCAGTGACCTGCCCCCAACTTACCTCTCCAGCCTCAGCAACTACTATGACTCTCCCAGCATACCCTCTTCTCACTCCTAAGTCAACTGCCAACCTTCCTCCACGTTCTTTCCTCCCTTTCTTACCCTGACATGTTCAGATCCTCTCATCCTTAAATAATACCAAGCATCTGTTAGAAAATGCTTTCTAACCTTCCACACTAGAAGTTACCACTCTCTCCCGCTGCATCATGGCGGTGGTCACCTCAGCTCAAGTGGATCTGATACTTCTCAGGGGCTGGGAGTGTCTTTGGTTGAGTGTGGTATCTCTCACAATGGCTGACCCAGCACTGCCCACTCCCACCCCAAGGAAGAAAAGAAGAGAGGTGCTAAACTGAGACTGATGCCTTATGATTTTTAAACACACACACAAAAGATTAAAGAAGAAAAAATGATGCCTAACAACTACCACCTACTGAAGATTTATACTGCGCTAGGCAGGTACTTCCTCAGTATCAGCTCAAATAATTCTCATGATAACCATATCGGGTAGGCAGCATTGCTGCTGCCAGGTTATTAATGACACTGAAGAACCAGGTAAAGAACCTCCCTAAAACTAACAAAGTACTCAAATCCCAGCAGTTGGGCTCAGAGCCCATACTCCTGGCTTTAACTCTACAGGTCCCCATGCTAACACTGTTGTTACTCAACAGCAACTACTAACATTTAATAAGTACTCACATGTGCCAGGTGGCTTCGTAAGCTCTGTTCACATATCCACTTATTTTACCTTAATGAGAACCCTAGGAAGCTACTACTATAACTCTTTTATTTAACAAATAAAAACACTGAGGTATAAAGAGATTCAGATTCACTAAGTTCATAGCTAGGATCTGAGCCACAAGGTCTTAACTATCAGTCTTCTACTCTACACCAGTGTAACCACTTTACATGCTTAACTTACTGTGCCTGCTGTGTGGAAGAACTAAGACTCTGGCCTGCCAAAATCAAGTATCACCTTGGAAAGAAGGGCCACCTGACGTAAGACAAGGCCAGTACGTGTTGGTAAGGCTAAATCTCACCAGCATTCCAACAGAAGCAGCAGAGGGCACACGTTGCCAGTAGCATTCTCTGTTCCAGGGGCCTCGGATCAACAATTCCTCCTCCCTCTTCAACCCTTGCTTTAAAAATTCCTCACTGAATGCAAGGAGATGCCTTCAAATTCCCAAGTGCCCTACCTGGTAATGGATGACGTGCTGGACTTTAGGAATATCCAGACCTCGAGCTGCCACATCTGTTGCCAAGAGAACACAGCTGTTGTGGAGAGAGAACACTCATTAATAACTGTAACTCACAGCTATCATTATTGAACTCTAAACACTACAATCCTTAAAAGCACTATATAAGAATATGGAAGATTTACTGCTGAGTGAAGCAAGCCAGGCTATGAAGGAGAGACACTGTATGTCCCCACTTAATATATACCGAGTGTCCGCACTCTATAACTGAAACTGATGGGCTAAAGGATGTACAAACACAAGAGATGGGCGTGAATGCCAGATGTGGTATGTGTGGAGGAGTGGGGCCTGGGGAAAAACATTTGGAGGAGGGATACGGAGACAGCATTGTTGAGACAGGGAGGTAGTGTTGTTATATTTTGATTAACTGGACCAGGGAGAAATGTTCACATATTTAAATAATCACCTTGTAAGCTAAAAACTGTGACTGAATGTATTAAAATATGTAAAAAAAAATAAAAATTGATGAAAAAAAAAGCACTATACAAGGCAATACTAATTTCCCTTTTAAGTTTCTAATGTATGTGACTGGCTATTCAGTTGTGGAATCAAGCTCCAAACCTGGACCTCACTGACCCCAACCAACATGGTTACAATACTCTACAATTGTAATAGATCTCCTTCAGTGAATTAAATGATGCCACATGTTCTGGGTCAGCAATTCATCTGCTAATACCCTCTTGCTTATTATTCTTTCCAATTGTAGACTTCCTCACTCTTTTTTTTTTTCTAACCATAGATTTACTTTCAAGCCTTTGCATTTGTTATTTCTTAAAGGGTCCTCCCTTGGATATCAATGACTCACTTCAATCCTTTCTTTAGCTCCCTGCTCAAATTTCACCTTGTCAGAGCAGATTCCCTAACCACATGTATGTATGTACCCAATCTCCCTTCTTCATTCCCGGCTCAATTTACTTCTTACTTTTATTATTATTACTTTTTGCTATAGGACACATGCACTCAATGGACAGAGAGAAAGTGACTCAATGGACAGAAAGTGAGAAATCACCCCCCAGAGGGGATGGTCACACACTGCAATCCCTTCTCCTCCATTCTCCTCTTGGATTTTTGGCATGGACACGTAGGCACCTGGCATGTTCCTCAACCAGATTCAGGACTTGAACCCACAGTAGGCCATGTGGAATCCAGCAGCTTAACTACCACACCACCTGCTGGCCCTCAATTTACTCATCATTGGAAAAGTCACAGCACATTTTTGCATAGAAAAACATGTCATGACTTTTCCAGCGACCCAATACTTCTTAGCACTTAGCACTATTTGCTATATTAATACTTTGCAACTTATCTCCCTCCAAGAATATAAGATCCATGTGGGCAAGAACTGTGTATTACTCACTGCATATTATCAACAGCCAGAACTGAGCCTGGTTCATAGCAACACTCAATAAGTAGACACTGGGTGATGTTTCCTAACATGGGGTTCAAGAGACTCAAAAGCATGAGCGTGCCTCACAAGACTGGGATTCTCAGGGCCCCTCTGTTCTTGAGTTATAGCTGGAGGATGTGAAGAATGTGATACGTACTGAAGTTTATAAAACATTAAGTTCTAAGTCAGGATGAACAAACCATCTCTGTTTAAGGCCAGATCATAAAAATGTCCAGCGTGTGGGCAGCAGTCTTTGTGGTGACTACTCGCTATGCCGTTTTGGTGCAAAAGCAATTACAGATGACATGAACTGAAGCTTGTGTTCCTATAAAACTTTGCCATGAAAACAGTGGGTAAGATCTGGTCCAAGGACTAGAGTTTAGCAAGCACATACTATGTGCTAGAGACAGTTCCAAATACTTCACATACATAAATTCACAGCCACTTAATCTTCAAACAACCCGTTAAAATAGCTTCTACTCTCATCCCAATTACGAGAAAACTGAAGCACAAGGAAGTTAGATAACTTGAGAGCAACTAGGAAGTGACAGAGCCAGGATCTGACCTCTGGCACTGATTCGAGAATCCGTGCCCTTGCTCTTTTGTCTTAGTCGCTGACATGCCACCCAGCTGAGGAAGGCCTAGAAACGTCAAGGCCCCATGAGTCACGGCTATGGCTGCATCAGCAAGCACTGGACGCATCATGGAGACCAGGGTAATGCGGGTGGCATGCACCACCACAGGGTCAACGTGGACAATTACCACCCAGGCTACTTTGGGGAAGATGGCATGAGGCATTACCACTTAAAGAAGAACCAGAGCTTCTGCCCAACTGTCCGTCAACCTTGATACTGTAGACCTTGGGCAGTGAGCAGACACAGGGAAATGCTGCCAGAAACAAATCTTCAGCAGAAGAGCTAAGGAGAAGTGTATGTGGGGGGGAGGGGGGGAGGAAGTTTCATTAATGCTAACAGTGCTTTTCAAAAATAAATAAATAAAAAGAATCTGCGCCCTTAACCATGAACTCATCCTACCTCTCAGCAAGTGACTGAATGTGATTATTGTGTGTGTGAAAAGCCAGCACAGAATGCATCTATTGTGTAAGTGTTCAGAAATATTAATAGTATATATCAATACTACTTGTCATTATAGAAGTTCCTACAGGGTATTAACAGGAAATAAATCTACTAAATGAGTTATGACCTTGACAAAAGTTGTGAAAAAAAAAAAAGCTAGTAAGACCCCTCTGACAGAAAGTAGCTTCCCGCCATTTTCCTATCACTCTGGCCCCCTTGACTGCAGCAGATGGCTAGGACCCAGGGCAGGCCTGGCTTACTCTTCCAGACGAGCAAACTGCTCCAGGTTTCTGAGCCTCTGCTTCTGGTGCATGCAGGCATGTAGGGTCAACGGCATGATATCCAGGACTTTGAGGAGCCCAGAGAGGCGTTTGATGCAGGAGATGCTGTTGGCAAACACTAAGCTGCGGCCTGGGTACTGCATCAGGAAGTAGTACAGGTAGAAATCTTTTTCATCAGTCTCACAGTGTATCTTAGTCTCTGTCAGTGTCTCTACAGTGGCCTCATTTCTCGTGAGGTCAATGACCTTAGGCTTGCCTCTCATGCCAATCTTCTGCATGAGGAGGTCAAGTTTGGCAGTTTTGTCCATTTTCTTGGCGTGCTTCTTTTGAAGGATTCGAGCAGGAGTTTGATGTATCAGAGTCAGCGTGGCAGAAAAAACAAGTGTCTGTCTCTTTGGGTTGTATTGGGAGTCATTGAGCATTTCTAGAAGCTGTGAGAGCTCAGCAAAATGGCCTTTTTCAACCATTCGGTCAGCTTCATCCACAACCAGGCACCTGCAGATCCGCAGAGACCCACATCACTGGTTAGTGGCAGGTAAAAAACCACCGACAGCATAACCCACTCCCTCTTCCCCAACACGCACACATCATCCCCAACAGGGTTTCACCCAATCTCCGTCATGCATGCCTAGTTTTCCAGGCTCATTCAGAACAGAGGTTGGGGGTGGGGGGAGGAGAGGTACTATGTCCCACCTGAGCTGCCGAAGGTTGCTCAAATGAGAGTGTTTTTCTTTAACTAGCTCCCACAGCCTGCCTGGAGTGGCGATCACAATCTCAGGATGGCGATTCAGCATCCTCTGCTGTTTCTGCGTGGACATTCCACCAACCAAAATAGCAGTTTTAATTCCTATGGGACATAAACATAAAAACCTATCATTCAGTCTAGCTGTGATGTGCTTACATGGCTGGCACAGGTGCCCCAGGTCAGCAGAGGCAGCCACCAGCACAGCTCCTTATTACGGGTGTGGCTGCTAAAAGAGCTGGTCTGGCCTGACTGTTGGTGCCATTCCTAGTGGGACTGCCAAGATCTGGGCCCCATCTACGTCTCCAACCTCATTCCTTTCTACTCCCCTTCCTCCAATCACATGGAAGAAATGGGTTATGAACCAAAGCGTATTTACCTAAAGCTCTGGGGAAACTGAGCAATGGTGTATCACAATGCTGGGAAGGATTATCTGCAGCTGTGATGCACCTCCCCTAGGAAGCCCTTCTCATTCCCCTCAACTAGAGGTAATCTGATGTTCCTCTAATGCCTAGTATTCCACTTTCCTCACTAGTGGAGGACCTCTCCAATGTATGAATGAACATACAGGACTGTGCAGGTAAAGCACTTAGCTAAGTGCCTTCCACATACTAAAAACTTGGTAACCTACTGCTTTTTATTATAACATTAAAATTCCTACCAGTCTTTCTTGAAAGGAATTGCCTGGAAAAGCTAAGCTCTAATGCCTTAAAACAGAGGTCATCAAACTATGTCTTAAAGGTTCATTAGTAAACATTATTGGCTTGTGGTCAGATTGTCTCTGTCACAACTACTAACTATACTCAGCTTTGTAGTACAAAAGCTGCCATGGACAGTATATAACCAAATGTGTCTGGGTATGTTTCAGTAAAACTTTATTTATAAAAACAGGCAGTTTGTCAACTCCTGCTCTAAGTATCCACTGTATCCAATAAATTAACTAATTTCCTATGCACCCAGAATGGCACTAGCTGTATCTCATCCTTAGAAGATTTGAGAAAATGTCAACCAATTTTCTGAAGGGCTTAACTCTCTTGCAGATGAGAATGGTTTTCCCTAGCGGGCAGGACCCATAGCCTTTTCATTTCTACCACACAGCATTAAGGATTGCCTCAGGAAATGGATATGAAATGGAACTAAACCTCACCTGTAAACTTGGCCACAGCATCAATATGTTGCTTGACCTGAACGGCCAGCTCTCGAGTGGGAGTCAGAACCAGTCCAAGCAGAGGATGCTTTGAATATGGTCTACAGGTGGCAATTTTGCCATCTAACTCTTGTTTTAATTTTCCAGTCTGCTGTTCATCAAGCTTTTCCTCTTCATCCTCATTCTGTTTGGAGACAGGCTTCTCCTTGACCAGGGAAGAAGGCCCTTCCTCAGCATCATCATCACAGAAGAGCAGCATTTGGTCTGAAATCTTGCCTCTAGTCTTGCTGGGCAGTGCTTCACTCTCAATTCCAGTCTCATTATGTGACACTCCACTCTCAGTTCTGCCCTTATTTGGAGAACTAGTCTCAGATCCAGTCTCAATTCTGTTCTCTCCATGGAGCACCACAGTGTTATCTGAATTGGGGGCAGACTTTCTCTTCAGCCACTGCAATACTGCATGAATCATTGGAATGGCAAAGGCAAGAGTTTTCCCACTTCCTTAAAAGTAAACAAAACAAGAAATCAGTGTGAATCAACGGATGTATATGCTTTATGGAATTCCTCCTTTTGCACAGGAGAAAGGACCCTGCAATAGCAAAGTGCCATTTTGATCTCCGCTCTGCACAAGTTTCTCCACAGTGCTACAACCAGAGGGAACCTGTAACTAGGAACCCAAGGAAAATCTGGTAGACTGACACTGAAGCCTGAGATCACCGGTGGTGAATTACAAATGTCCAAGCAATGAAACCACAAAGAGATGAGGATAAGGGTAAGTTCTGTGTGTTGTTCTTGTAAAGGAACAACCCACTGAGGGGTAAACAAAGGAAATCCATACAGTGTGGTATTTTCTCAAGACCTTCTTCTGGTGAAGAGAGTAAAAGAAAATTAGCTTTTCAAAAAATTTAACTATTCTTTTAATATTTAAACAATAATGTTTAAATGTTATCTTCATACACACCTTTGTGCTTGAGTATATTTAAAGTAGGCTTTAATATACATAGAGTCTAAATATCATCCTCTGGGTGATCAAAACAAACAAAAGGAACAGGATACTTTAAGCCGAAACTTTAAAGCTGTCCCAAAGTGATAATGCCCCAAGCCAATAAACACTCTTTGGAGGAAGAAATCTTTATCTTATCATAGTCATTAAAGAATGTTCACAAATAATTTTCAAAGGAAACGAGTAACTCTAATTAAAAAATACTACAATCACACGTGGAAATACAATACTGTCATCAAGATTTGTAAGAAAAAAAGAGCAAAAACAGACTCATAAAATGGCATATAAAGAGAGCAGCAGGCTTTTCCTAACAGTGAAACTGAGAAGACCCTGTAGCAACATCTTTATTTGAAAACCTGAGGGAAAAAATTTATAAGACTACACTTGTAATGGTACCTGAGGGGCTTAACGAGGACTCTCTAGTACAGAAAAATAAGTTTCAAAGTCATCAGTCTGTTTCTTCTTGCTTAAATGACTAACCTTAGAAGTACAACAGCAATAACAAAAACTGAATGAAAAACAGGGAGTTTCCTGTTAGTGGTTAAAGTCTAAAAAAATACACCTACTCTTTATTTCTATAAACAATGAATAAAACAACAAACAGAAACATTCCCTGCCTCAGAGCTACACATAGCTAAGTTAATAAATCTCCACACATCCTGTCACTGCTTCTGTAGAAAGCATCTCTATAACCAATGGATTATACAACATTTTATTCAAGACGCTTTTCAGGAACATGAGGTCAGCATTTAAAAAAAAAAAATCCAAGATCCAGTCTTAATAAAAACTTTCCAGAGATAAGAGAATTTCCTCACCCTGATAAAGAGCACCTACAAAAAACCTATAGCTAACATCAAACTTAACAGTGAAAGACTGAATGTTTTCCTTTAAAGACCAGGAGCTAAACAATAATGCCCACTCCACCCTTCAACTGAAAATTGTACTGGTGCTTTTTGCCACTGAGATAAGACAAAAATAAACCAAAAACATGCAAAATATACCATGAAATCCTCAGTAAACTGCTTAAGAGATGGCTACTGAACTTGAGTTGTGAAATACTGCTTTCAGGGACTAAAAATGAAGATTTTCTGCTGAGTGCTGAACCTTCACCCTCCAAATTCATTTCCAGAGGGGAGAGGCACAAACTCAGGCCCATTCTGAGATGGTTACTGAACTTGAGCTGGGAAATATTTCTTTCAGGGACTAAAATGAAGATCTGCTGAGCCTCCACCCTCCAGATTCATTTCTATTGGGGTAAGGCAACATCTGTATCCTTCTCTCTGTCTTCTAATTTTTTTTTAAGGTAAAGTATTCTCTGGGCTCTCAGAGCTTCCTTTATCTTGCTAATTCATGCCCCCCCACCCCCCCATTTAGGAGTGGTACAAACCCAGGCCCATTCTGAGATGGCTACTAAATTTGAGCTGTGAAATAATGCTTTTGCGCTGCACATGCACACGCTGTGCGGTTTTCATATTTTACTTTTCAAAATTCAAATATAAATTTTTATTGTCTTTTTAAATGTTTTAATTTTTTATTGTCTTCTTTCTTCTTTTTTTCCTTTTTCTTTAACTTCTTCCCTTGGCTGCTCAGCCTCCACATACTGAGTGTGTAGACAGGTCTAGGTGAACAGTATCCAAACATCTGAATACTAGTAGGATAAGAATATTCCTCAAGTCCCACTGAATCTGACACACGAAGAATTAAAAACGGATCAGAAGAAAGATCGCAGATCACCTCCTCCAGCACATCTCTGAACGCTCATATTGAACTTCAAGAATTAGGAAGAAATGCACAACCCATTGGATGACCAGAAATCACCTCCAGGGCACAAGAAATAGAAGAAACCAAGAAAATATTTCTCCTCCGGAAAAGAATATTTCCTCTTCATTTACAGACAATAAAATGGAACTCAGGGAAAATGTCAGATAAAGAATTTAGAATATCCATAACGACAAAGCTAACAGAGATGCAAGAGAAGAGAGGCAATGAACTCCAGAAGATGCAGGAGAAAAGAGCTGATGATTTCCAGGAGGTGAGGAATTCCTTGCATGATCTGAAAGAGGAAATACACACCATAAAAAAGAATCAAATGGAATGGAGCTATTAGAGATGAAAGCTGTAATACAGGAAATCAAAATCTCCCTTGAAAGTATTAAAAGCAGACTAGATCATACAGAAGATCGAATCTCAGATGTAGAAGACGGAATCAATGGCCTAGAAAAATCCACCATGAAGAGTGAGAAAATAGACCCCAAAATGAGAATAAACGAGAAACACTAGATACCATTAAATGTCCAAACATCTGGATAATTGGTATCCCAGAAGGCGAAGTGACTAGTAAGGGTATTGATAACCTATTCCATGATGTCCTGGAAGAAAACTTTCCAAACCTAGAGAAGCATTAAAAAATCCAGTCCCAAGAAATATAAAAGACCCCAAATAAAATCAACCCAAGAAGATCCTCTCCAAAACACATTATAACCAGATTGACCAAAACCACAAAGACAAGATACTAAGACTGGCAAGTGAGAAATGTTAAGTTACCTACAAAGGATATCCCATCAGGCTAACAGCAGACCTCTCATCAGAAAGAATGCCAAGGAGGAGAGAATGGGAAAATATATTCAAATGTTAAAGGAAAGGCAATTTCAACCAAGAATACTGTACTGGGCAAGATTATCCTTCGTATGTGAAGAAAAGACAAAAACATTCTCAGATAAACAAAACCTGAAAGAATTTATCAACGCCAGACCAGCTCTCCAAGAAGTTCTGTAGAGAGTGCTGTACCAGAAAAACTAAATACAGACACACAGAAATAAGAGTTCAAAAACAACTAAGAAAATGGCCAACTTAATGGTAGGGGCAAGTCTGGAGTTGAATGTTCTAGTTCAGAATTTATACAGGGAGATCAAACCACAACAAAAGATAGCTTAAGTACATGAGACTGAGCTGGTGAAATAGAATCTTGTGACTTTTGAATAAAACATTACTGATTTTCTTCTATGCTTTGTTTTCCAGGTTTAAGGATTTTTGTTTTGTCTTGAGCTGCCGATAGGTTTATGTACCTACTACTTGAACAGAATCCTAACCTGTTTCCTGGCTTTTAAGTTTTAAGCAAAGCTCTCTGAGCATTTTTAAATTTTGATTTATTAAAGCTAAAACTGCTTTTCTTGAAATTAAAAAATATTTTAAAATACCTAAAGACCACAGTAACCTATATAACATCAGCAAGGTACTACTTTATAGTATATTCATTCTACTCAGAGTTTCATGCCTAAAGTCAGACATGTGTTTACAGATATGTATATAGCAATTGAATTTGCTATTGAAAGTAGTTAATTAGGATATTTTGTGAATCAATAAAATGTGGGGGTGGGGTAAAAAAGGAATGGAAAGCAACTATAGACACCAAAGACAGTGTGGAAGGAGGGTGGTAAATGGCAGAGGGAGAGAAATAGGGGGGAAGAATATATATACACATATGTATATATGAAATAAGAAATGGAAAATTATCAACAATAACATGTATGATTAAGCCACTATGCAGTGTATTGTGTGTGTGAAATCACATTTTGTATGCTGTGATGGTGGTCCAGTGAATGGATGTAAAATAAATTAATTAATTTAAAAAAAACCTTAGTGGTACACCAAGTTGCAGGATACAAGATGAATATACGAAAATTCATCATATGTCTCTTTATTGGCAACAACCAGAAACAAAAAATTAGAATTTACAATAACACCAAAAAATACAAAATACTTGAAGATACACTAATGGAGACATGCCAAATATATACACTAAAAAGTATAAAACATTGCTGAAAAAAGTAAAAGACCTAAAGAAACAGGTATCATATGCATAGACAGAAATATTCAATACTGTTAAGATATGTGTCTTCCATATGCTCTCTGTAATTTGCAAAGTATCATCTTGCTTTTTTGTAAAAAAAAAAACTGACAAGCTGACTCAAAAACTCGTATGTGAATGCAAAGGCCTAGGGCAGCACTAACAGCATTTGGTAGTACTTATTCTACCTGATTTTTTTATGACATGATAAAGCTACTATAACCAAGATAGTAAGGTACTGATATAAACAAGTAGATCAATGGAAAAATAACATTCCAGAGAAAAAGACCCACACCGTGTATGGACACTGATTTTCAACAAGATACAAAGTCAATTCAGTGGAGAAAAGATAGTTTTTCAATAAAAAGTGCTAGAACAATTAAGATATCCACATGGAGAGAGGGAAAAAAAAAAACACTGATCCATACTTTTTCCCATAAATACAAATTAACTCACAAACTGGGGTAAAAAAAAAAAAAAAAACCTTGAAAATTATTAACACTTCAAGGAGAAAATCTGTGATCTTGAGTTGGGTAAAGGGTTCTTAAATAAGACATCAAAAGCATGATCCACATAAGATAAAGAACTGATGATTTGAACTTCAACAAATTAAACAATTTACTCTTTGAAAAACACCAGTAAGAGAGTGAAAAGACAAGCCACAGACTGGGAGAAAAAATTGCAAATCATTTATATCTAGAATATATAATGAACTCTCAAAACTCAGTAATAGGAGAACAACCACTCAATCAAAAAAGGGACAAAAGAACTGAGTATACACTATCAAAGATAATACTGATGACAACACACAAAAAGATACTCAACGTCATTAAGTCATAAGGAAAATGTAAATTAAAACCATGAGAAAATAACACTAAAAACTTAAAAAAAAATCTAAGAATTAAAGACCGATCCCACCAACAATATGGATTGACCTGAACTCATAACCTCTTGTAGTAATGTAAAATAGTATGATCACTTTGAAAAACTCCTAAAAAAAAATTTCCCCTAAGAATTTACCTAATAGATACTAAAATATATTCCTGCAAAGACTGGTACATCAACATTTATAACAGCTTTATTTATGGCCCAAACCTAGAAATAAAATGTCCATCAACAGGTAAGACGAACAAATTGTGCTCTAGCCATACATCAAAATACTCATCATAAAATAATGAATGAACAATTGGTACTTGCAATAACATGGCAATAAGGAGGGAAAAAGCCAGATACGCCTGTACTCAAAGTCACACTTATGTAATGATTCCATTATATAAAATTCTGGAAAATGTAAATTAATCTATAGTGATAGAAAGCCCATCAGTGGAGGGGCCAGCAGGCGTGGTGGTGAAGGCACTGGACTCCCACATAGTTTAACTGTGGTTTAAGTCACAGACTTGGAGGCTTGAAAATCATGCTGGGCATATGTTAATGGATGCCCCAAATCCCAGGACAAGGTGAAAGGATTGCGGCATGGCCATCCCCTTGAAAGGGAGGGGTGGATTTCTCACTTCCTCTGTCTTCAGAGAGCAGAGTCCTATAGCAAAAACTTAAAAAAAAAAAAAAAAAATCCTATGAGGTAGGCTTTGTAATCACAAGATTACAAGAGAACCCAAGGCATCTTTTGGGGAGTAACTGATATTTCCATGATCACAGCCCCAAATGCATAGACCTATCCCAAATCTTTTTGAATCCTCAACTCACAGCACTCCATGGGGAAAGACTGTGATAGCTGTGGTATAAACCCAAATGTCAGGCTCTAGCCACAGTAGACCACACAGATCTTGCCTTTTCCTTCGAGGGCCACTTTTGGGACCCTGCACATACCAAAACAGCACACAGACCTAGCCTAGAATTCAGGCATTACCATGCTCAACTGTAAAATTTTAGGGAAGCTGTCTTCAGTGAGGATACAGCTCATCTGTAATACAGGAATGATGATGATACCTTCCTCAAGGTATCTGTGGGAACTGAGTTCACCGATATAAACATGACACAGCATTAGCGTAATGGCTGTCACTGAACTCCCATGTAGTTCAGCGACTTGAACCTACCGCGGTTCAAGTCCTGGACCCAGTGGCTTAAACTTATGCTGGACGTATGTGCATGTGTGCCCAAGATACCGAGAAGAGAATGGAGAAGGGATTACGGCATGGCCATCCCCCCTGGGTGGTGATTTCTCACTTTCTGTCTCTCTGTCTCTCTGGCGCTGGGGAGCACACATGCCCTAAAGCAAAAAAAAAAAAAAAAAGAAAAAAGAAAAAAGAAAAGAAAAACATGACACATTGCATGACACATTTAAATACTCAGGTAATGTACTAAGTTATTTATTATTACAACCTCCATTCCCCTTTCCTGGGATTTTCCTCCAGAAACCCAAGGCACCAAGTGTCTAAATAATTTTGTACTACATTGTACAACAGCCACTATAAACTGTATGGCTATCGAGCACTTAAAATGTAGTTACTTTAAAATGACATGTATTCTAAGCTTCTGGTCACGTACTTCGGGCATCCATGTCTGCTTTTTTGAGCACCTTAAGAGCAGTGTTCTGTGGAGGCTCCATTTTTTTACCCTTTTTTCTATTTTGGGTGGAACAGTCTGGACAGCTTTCTGATACACACACCAGATTTTGAAATTTTAGTGCAAAAATCCTAAACAAAACTTGTGCTGAAATTTGACACTCAATGTGGCAGTGTTGGGAGGTGCCTGGGATAAGGGAGGAGTCTCTATAAATGCCATCTTGGAGAATGTGAGTTCTCACTGCTCAGTTCTCACTAGAATAGGCTGTAATGAAATCAGGTTGGCTTCTGGCATGTCTCTGTCTTTGCATGTGCCTGCTGGCTTTTCCACTTCTCTTAACCATGTTGCATCATAGCACCAGAAACCAGCCCCATACTCTTAGACTTCTAGACACCAGACCTTCTAGTCACCAGAAGCATGAGCCAAATACATCTCTTTTCTTTACAATCACCCAGTCTCAAGGTATTGTCAGAACACAAAACAAAGATAATAATCTCACATGAATTACATACTGAAGTACTTTGCTGTAACTAGTTTAAAAAGGTCTATGGTTAAAATTAATTTTCAGGCTGGCTCCATGGCCTAGTGGTTAAGGGAGCTGGATCCCATATGGCCAACCATGTAGTGTGAATCTTGGTTCCAGTGCTTGAAAAACACATTGGGTGCATATACATGAGCGACCAAAATCCTGACAGGATGGAGAAATGGAGAAGGGATTGCTGCATGACCACACCCTACTATTAGGGAGTGCTTTCTTTCTTTTTGGGGGGAGGTTTTTGCTACAGGACACATGCGTTTACCAGAAAGACAGAGACAGAGAGCAAGAAATCACTCCCCTCCCAGGGGGCACGGCCACGCCACAATCCCTTCTCCTCCATTCTTCTCTTGGGATCTTGGGCACACATGCACATGCGCCCAGCCTGAGTTTAAGCCATAGGGTCCAGGACTTGAACCACAGTCAACTACATGGGAGCTCAGTGACATAGCCATAATGCCAACTGCTGGACCTGGGAGTGCTTTCTAACTTTCACTCTCTCTGACAAGCACACACACCCTTGGGCAAATTTCCAAAGTTAATTTTCACTGTTTTTAAATTACTTTTAAAAAATGTGGCACCTAGGAAATTTTACCTGTGTAGTTCACATTATATATTTCTACTGATATACAATGTAAATAGTTCCAGGCAGTACAAGTTTCTTTCCCACTCATATCTTAGTCTATGTAGCAAGTCAGTGCTTTCAGAAGTTTTATTTTTGTTTTCTTAAAGAGGTTTTTGCCAGGACCAGCAGTTGGTGTAATGGCTATGTCGCTGGACTCGCACGTAGTCAACTGTGATTTAAGTCCCAGACCCAATGGCTTAAACTTACGCTGGGTGCGTGTGTGCCCAAGCTCCCGAGAGGAGAATGGAGAAGGGACTCCTGTGTGGCCATCCCCCCTGGGGGGTGATTTCTCACTTTCTGACTCTGTCTCTGTCTTTCTGATGAGTACACGTGCTCTATAGCAAAAAGCCTCTCAAAAAAAAAAAAAAAAGAGGTTTTTGCCATAGGACACATGGCCACGCCACAATCTCTTCTCCATTCTCATCCTGGGATCTTGAGCACACACACGTGCCCATCGGGTCTTGGACTCAAATGGCAACTGGCCACGTGGGCGTTCAGTGACATAACCACTAAGCCATTTGCTGGCCTTTTCTTCCAAAAGATTTAGCACAAGGAATGAGGGAACCAGTCACCTCACATCTGAGTTTGCCAACAAAATCTACACAAAAGATATCCACCAAACTCAAATTATCCCAATGACAAACAACTCAGCAACTCTCAAATAAGAACTTTCTACCTTCAGAGAACTCTTCAGAATTAGAGACTTTTTCCTTTTTAAAGTTTATTTTATTCATGATGGACAGTAAGCACACGAGAAACATTCCTGGCAAGGTCTTGTCACCCCATGACCTCACTTCTGCCTCTCAGTCATGTGTGCATACATCGTTTGTTTTCAAATTGACCAGGGATGCAAACCTGCTGCAACCCTGTGGCTTCTAGCACTGGATTCAATTTGCTATCAATTGGGCCACCAAGCTGGGCTTAGATAGTACATTCCTATACTAAGAGCTCTCTCTCCAAAGAACTGCTCTTTTCCCCACCTTTCCCCTTCATGCAATTTATAAAAGGCTCAAGAACAGGAAAAATTACCATTTGTAGGTCCCTTAGAATGTACTGTATAAACTAGTTTACCACAGCCTTTAGCCCTCATAGCAATGCAAGAGGCAGGTACTGCTAACATCTTTATTATTATTTTAATTTGCTAGAAGGTGTGTGTGCTTGCCAGAGGCAGAGAGAGACAAACAGAGAGAGAAAGGGGGAAAGAAGCTCCCAATGGTGCATGGTCATGCTGCAATCCCTTCATTTCTCCACCTTGTTGGGATTTGGGGCATGCACACACATGTATATGATGTGTTTTCCAAGCTCTGTACCTGGGATTTGAACTGCAGGACTGGCCATGCAGGATCCTGCTGCTTTAACCAGTATATCATAGAGTTGGCCCATCCTCTATTTTATAACGGGACTTATGTGGCTCTGAGTGATTAATCACTGCTTTTGTGATTACGTTGTCAACATGCTCCTCTCTTCTGGTCACCTAGCCTGTAAGCAGCTACAGACTCAATCCAGAAGCAACCCTCTGACGACCACGGTTGCCCTTACCTGTCTCAGCAGCCCCAAGGATGTCTAGTTTATCACGGATGGCAGGTGCCAAGGTCAGTGCTTGGATTGGTGTGGGTGCAGAGAAGCCTAGAAAGCTGAGTGCTCGGAGAACTGGCTTGGGCACAAACAGGTCTTTCCAAGCAGATACATCTGCCTTCTGGTCGTGTACTTCAGGCATCCATGTCTTTGCTTTTTTAGGCACCTTAGGAGCGGTGTTCTGTGGAGGCTCCATTTTTTTCACCCTTTTCTTTTTCTTTTTTTTGGGAACAGTCTGGACCAGGCTTTCTGATACAATCTCCTCTACTTCTGGCTCAGCACAAACAGTGCCATCTCCCTGTGGCTCTGGCTCTGGCTCAGCATCATTAACGTCCAACTCTTTCTTGGTACTGGTTCCTTCAGTTACTATACCTTTACTCTTCTTTAACTTGATCTTTTTCTTTGGGGAGCTAGACTCCCTTTCCTCCTCTTCTTCTAAAACAACCTGGGCCTTCCTCTTCTTGGACTCTTCCTTTGAGAAGAGGCCAGAGGGATTCTTGGCAGGGGAGACTAATCGGTAATCTGTCAGTTCCTCAAAGCACACCAAGTCATCCATTTGTCCATCTGCAAATACATTTGGGTCAATCTTCACCTGCTTCCATTTCCCCACAACTCTGATTCCTTTTGTTTTAAATTTGCCATAGCTTGGTGGCTTTGGCCTTGATTTTGCCTCCTTCAACTTCATGGTTGCTGAAATGAAAGAAATGTTCTGTTAGGAAATAGTAACTGAAAAGTATAGGGTTCTGAGGCAACACATATTTTCTAAGCAATCAGGTGCTGTATCAGGTGCTGTAAAGAATCGAGGACACGGGAACCAGCAGTTAGTGTAATGGCTATGTCGCTGGACTCCCACGTGGTCGACCGCGGTTCGTGTCCCGGACCCGGTGGCTTAAAACTCACGCCGGGCGCGTGTGCGTGCGTGCCCAAGATCCCGAGAGGAGAATGGAGGAGAAGGGACTGCGGCGTGACCATCCCCCCTGGGGGGTGATTTCTCGCTTTCTGTCTCTATGTCTCTCTCTGTCTGTCTGGCGAGCGCACGCGCCCTACAGTGAAAATCTCTCCAAAAAAAAAAAAAAAAGAATCGAGGACACAAAGACAGTTGTAACTCAAATGCTTCCAGCTAGAGATCAAAAAGAGAAAGTAATATACTCAGAACAAGAGGCCTGGCCTGAAAGAGGAGCCAAGAAGAGGCAGTGTGGAGACTCAGTTAGACCTAATGGGGATTCCTGACCCAACATTTACTCAAGTGTGACCTTGGACAGTGCTACTGACTCTTCTCCAAACCTTGGTGTTGTCTATAAGCAGCAGCCTAACAAATGAGAAAAATTACATAAAGCAGGGAGGATGGAGCCTGCCACACATAAATACACAGACCAAGAATCTGAGGGGGTTTGGGAGGCAGGGAGGTGAACTTTATTCTAAGTTCCCTGAGCTTTCTCCCCAGTCAAGCCTTGTCCCCAAAGGGCCAATGCCTGTTCCATCATTCTGGACTTTAGTAAATGGCTAAAAACCCACCCTGCTTTGTCATTACACTGTAAGTGATTTAACGACCAAACACAGCTCGTTTGGGTTCCGGCTGCACCCAAACGCGGGTGGAACGCGATCCACGTTCTCCCTTTTCAGAAAGGCAAAGAAAGGTAAGACCCCGTGAAAATGACAAAGGTAAATCTCAGCTCAAACCCGGACCCGTTTCACTAGCCAGCTCTGAGTCTGTGAGCGTATTAATCGTCTGGCCTCAGTTTCCTGGTCTGCAAAGTGGGATAACTGATCCTTGTCCCAACAAGAAAAGGTGACGCAGGTCCAAGACCACCTGGATGGCGCCGGACGAGGGCAGCACGTTAGCGCGCAGGGCAGGCTCGCCCACCGCACCAGCTGCGCCACGAGCGCAGGCAGTGCGAGTCCAGGTTCGAGGAGAAGGTGGCGGGGAGTGTCACCAGAATACGGGGGAGGACGCGGAGAGAGACCTGTCAGGCGAGCGGGGGTCCCTCCTCGTGGCTGCCGTTCTCGCTTCGTCTCCGGCACTGGCGGGCGCACGAGGCAGATGCCCGAGGCCGCTGGGCCTTGCTGCCCAGAGAGAGGCGCCGGCCTCAAGGTCCACAGGCCGCTCGGCTGGGCAGCTGCCTTTTCCAGACCCCGCGAACACAAGAGCGGGTGAGGCCCGTGATGGGAGCCTGGGGTCCTGGCCCGTCCCCCCGGGCCGGCGCCAGCCAGCTGCAGTATGCACCGCGTGGAGTCTCCGCCGCAGCGCCTTCACAAGCAGGCCAAGCGCCGAGAACCCGCCACTGTCGTCACCCAGCTGCAGGGACCGCCGCAGTTCCGGGGCGGGGCCTCTACCGCGCACGCCGGCGTGCTGCTACAGGAAGTCCCGCCTCCTACGCAAAACGCCGCTCCCTGGTTGGCTGCCGCGGGAAATCAGCGGTGTGGGTGTCGAGAGCGGAGATTGAGCGGAGGCTGGACTCCTGCGGCGGTGCCCCTCCACCGCCAGGGGGCAGGCGCGGCGTTCGCTGGCGGTTGTGCTCCGCGCATACTGGCCTGGCGCCGGTGCACCCGCCCGCGCGATTCTCTTGTATTCCTGGCCTTGGTTTAGTGCAGCAGCTGTCCGCTATTGAGAACCCACGTGTGCCTGGAGTTTGCACACCTTTTCCCGTTTAATTTACCGCCTAGGCACCAGCCTGTATTGGAGGTGCTGTTTTCCCCAGTCAATTTTGCTTATCCTTTCTTTGGCTTTTGTTTTTTATTGTAGTGTGTGGACGGGGGGCTGGCTGTGTCCTGATCCTCCTGCCTCAGCTTCCCCAGTAGCTGGACAACAGGCACGCGCCACAATCGTGTAATCAAACCAAGGCCTCTCTTGTGTTCTCAACCTCTTAAGCAGCAGTGACCAGCCTGTGCTACTAAGCAGCTGACCTCCTCCCTGGCACCAAGGTTTTTGATGCCTCACCTGTGCACACTGATGGTTAGGGTACCTGCTCATCGAAATGTGTAATTATCAAGCTGCACTGGGTCTTTCGTTATGTGTAGACAAATGAGCTTCACAGTAGTGTGAAAGTTGTCAGACTCAAAATGGAGTCCCTGGTGTCAAAACAAAAAACTTCAGTCAACAGAGCTGGGAAGGTCATGAAGAGTGGAGATACTCCTGATAATTGGAGCTACCAGAAGGACCCTGCCAGAACCACAACCTTACACAAAAGGTCACCACCACTTCATACAAAAGATATACATCTGCAAGCTAGCCTGCTAGCTGCCTAGTCAGCCTTGTAGGGTCAGAATGTTACATGGTGGAGAGTCTCACTGGGGCTTCAGAAAAGCTGGCAAAATTATCCGTGTAAGGGTTTTCCAGAGATACATGTGTGTGCAAGCGTGTGTACAAAGAAAGATCTATTTTAATGAATTGTCTCACAATTGTGAAGGCTTATCTCCTTAATAGTCTAAGGGTGGAGCCAACAGATGGTGTAGAGGTTAAGTCACTGGACTCCCACGTGGTGGACCGCAGTTTAAGTCCCTAACCTGGCGGTTTGAAACACACCAGGCACGTGTGAATGTGTGCCCAGAATCCTGGGAGGATTCTCCCTTCTGGGGAACAATTTCTCACTTTCCCTCTCATTGTCTCAGTCTCTCTGGGAGTGCACGTGCCCTAAGGCAAAAATCTCTACCAAAAAAAAAAAAGAATCCATGGTGGAACTAGCAGGTGGCATGGTGGCTAGGGCACTGGACTCCCACATGGCTGATCATGGTTCAAGTCTCAGATGCAGCACCTCAAAACTCATGCCAGATCTGTGTACATGCATGCCCAAATTCCTAGGAGGAGAACAAAGAAGCGATTGTGGTGTGGCCGTCCCCCTGGGATATGTGGGGGGTGATTTCTTGCTTTCCCTCTCACTGTCTTTCTCTGTCTCTCTAGTGAGAGCACAGGCCATATAGCAAAAACCTTAAAGATATATATATATATGAGTAAATCAGCAGGCTGGAGGCCCAGAGAGGAGCCAATGTCGTCCAAACACTGCTGGCAGATCCCTTCCTGTTCTGGGAAAGTCAGTCTTTGTTCTATTAAGGCCTTCAATTGATTGGACAATGCTCACCCACATTATGGAGGATAGTATCTCCTTTACTTAAAGTTCACTTATTAAAAAATTAATCTCATCCATAAATAAATAAACGCACATTCATAGAAATATCTGGAATAATGTTTGACCAAATATTTGGGCTCCACAGCCCAGCTAAACTGATACACAAAATTAACCAGCACAGGGACCAGCAGTTAGCATAATGGCTATGTCGCTGAACTCCCATGTAGTCGGCTGCGGTTTGAGTCCTGGACCCCGTGGCTTAAATTCACGCAGGGCGCATGTGTGTGTGTGCCCAAGATCCCGAGAGGAGAATAGAGGAGGAGGTGCCCTTGCGGCGTGGCCATCCCCCATGGGGGGTGATTTCTCGCTTTCTGTCTTTCTGGCGCGCGCACGCACCCTATAGCAAAAACCTCTCCAAAATAAATAAATAAATAAATAAATAACCAGCACAACATCTTCAGAGAGAAAAGGATAACTTTGTTTGGAAGTCTTCCAAAACTGAAGAGAAGCAGCTCTGCTGGACTGCCCAGAAAGACCCACACACAACATTAGCTCGGTTGAAATAACGTCTTGCCACTTTATCTCTCTTGTCTCTACTCGGCACAGAGTTACCAAAAGCAGCCATTTTTTTATGAGGAAGAAGTCGAGGAAAGAGCTGAGGAACAAATCGTGCCTTCTTTTTCTGGCTTTTGGTTTTAGATGCTGGATCAAATCTAAGCTGGGGAAACAGGAGAAATTATGAATCACATGTAACATAGGCATTTCAACATCAGAGGTGACGTTTTTAATGTATTGGTGTTTTGTTTTTTTTTTGAGAGATTTTTCACTGTAGGGCGCGTGCACTCGCCAGACAGACAGAAAGAGACATAGAGACAGAAAGCGAGAAATCACCCCCCAGGGGGGATGGTCATGCCGCAATCCCTTCTCCTCCATTCTCCTCTCGGGAGCTTGGGCACGCACGCACACGCGCCCGGCGTGAGTTTTAAGCCACCGGGTCCGGGACACGAACTGCGGTCGACTACGTGGGAGTCCAGCGACATAGCCATTACGCTAACTGCTGGTTCCCTGTATTGGTTATTTTTTTCACCATCGTAATAACTTTTTTCCCTGTGATTACTATGGATGAGATGTGATGAATGGTAAAATGGCCTTTTTTCTGAGTCAGTTTTAGCAAAGGCACAAAAGACTGAAAACGAAACAGTAGGTGCCTTGTTTCCTTCTCTCCAAATGAGAGTGCTTGGAAAGTCTCAGATCTGGCAAAGAAATGTTCTCAAACCCACTGTATGGGGGCCGGCAGGTGGCGTGGTGGTTAAGGGCACTGGCCTCCCCAATGGCTGACTATGGTTCAAGTCCCAGACCTGGCAGCTTGTTTTCTCTCTCTCTCTCTCTCGCTCTGTTCCTCTCTGGTCAATTTAATATAACTAAATAAAGTTAAATAAAATAATTCTTAAAAAGAAAAAAAAAGCACTGTGTGATCGATCCTTAGCTTAAAGCCCAGCTAAGAGTATGAAATAGTTAAGGCTATCGAGTCTGAAAGGGAAAATTTCCTTGTCAAACATTATTTGAAACTTGTGGCCAAAGTTGAATAAAATGTAATTCAGGCTTGTAATAATTTATTTCAACAAACAGTTCTTTGTTCAGGATTATCTTTTCAGAGCTCTTTCCATGGAGCATAGCATTTTTACTTCTGCACCATATCGACCCTTTTTAATTTGATCTCTCCTCCTGAATTGCAAGCTTTTCAAGCAATTCTCCTCAGATTCATCTTGGCAACCCCTAAAATGCCTGGTCAGCACCTGCCTGACTTAGTGGATCATAGATGTTTGTTGACTGAATAAATGAGTGAATGAATGAGTAAGCAGTTGAGTTAGCTTGAGGACAAAATCCTCCATCTTTTGTAGTTGGGCCTCAAAACAAAAGTGACGAAGAGTACTGACCCTGTCACATAGCGTCTGTTGATAGATCATAGCAGCTTCATTTATAATAATCAAAAACTAGAGGCAACCAAAATGACCCAACGTAGATAAATGGGTAAGTAAACTAAGGCAGTCTATACCACAGGACGCCATCCAGCAATGGAAAAGAGTGAACTATTGATACACACAGCTTGGAGGACTCTCAAATTGAGTGAAAAAGCCCACCTTGAAAGGTCATAATCAGAGCCAGCAGGCGGTGTGGTGGTTGTGAGGTAGAGGATAGGCACACTCACATACATACAGTTAGGTACAGACCCGTGAGATGGAGCCAACATACAAGATGGAGTCACTCTGGTCAAGCTTTTCTTTTTTTTTAAGAGAAATTTTTGCTATAGGGAGAGTGTGCTTACTGGAGAGACAAGAGTTTCTCTCTGAGAATTCACCCCCGGGGGTGGGGGGGGGGTGTTGATCACATCACAATCCCTTCTCTTTCATTCTTTCAGGCTTTTGGACACGTATGCACTCGTACCTGGCATGAGTTCAGGCCTCCAGGTCCGAGACTTGAACCTTGGTTGGTCATGTGGGAATCCAGCACCCTAACCACTATACCATCTGATGGCCCCTCTGATCAAGCTTTTAAAAGAAATCATTCATTACTCTCACTAGAAATCAATTATTAGCTCTCACTGTTTACTCACACAAAAAACTGCATTCAGCCTGCTTGAGATAATGACAGCTAAAACTAACGTTTTTGTATCATTGGTACTTTCCAAAGAGTGTAGTCTCTCTTAGTCTGGAGAGCAAGAGAGCAAAGGACCTTGAGCAGTAACTTGCCACAAGCTATTGTTTGAGAAACTGGAACATGACCTGCAGGCTTGTGCCTGCAAGATAAGGAGGCCTGAGATTACATTTTAAAAACACAAAGGAAAAATACATCAAAGAACAAAACTTTGTCTTAGACTTGTGGGAAACACGATAAAAACTAGAAACTTGGGGTCCAGCAGGTGGTGTGGTGGTTAAGGTGCTGGACACTCCCACAGGGCTGACCACAGTTCAAGTCCTGGACCTGGTGGCTTGTTTTCTCACTTCCTCTCTCTCTCTGTATCTCTCTCTGGTTAAATTAAAAAGTAAATGAATTAATAAATTAAGTTAAATAAATACTTCTTAAAAAAAACTAGAAACTTTATGAGTCATAGACTACAGACAAAGATCTACTGAATGTTAATTAAGGGCTGAATGTCTAGTTTTATCATTTGTGAGCCCACTCCCCAATTGGAGAATGGTTTAACTTACCCAACATGTACCCCACAAGAAGG